AATAAATAAACGTTAAAAAAAAAAATTAAAAAAAAAAAAAAACTCAGGGTCATAACTGGCACGTTCTGGAAGGTGTTAGGTCACACTTTCTGTAGAAGCAGCTGGGGCCACCAGCCACCCTCTGCCTACTGGTCTCCCCTGTTCACATCTCAGCTGCTCCTGAGGCCTCACCCTTCGGCAGGCACCCCCCTCACCACAGGTGCCCAGACCCACTGTGTCCAGCATGCATCTGGTCCCCCCGACCTTGGTGATCTTTGCTATCCAAGCTGGGAAACCAAGCCATCGTTACGAGCAAGAAGCTTCAGAAAGAAGGAACAGGTGGGGAAGGGGGCTTGGGGGAGACACATCCCCAGCCTCTGGGGCTGAGGGGGCAACTCTTGACTAAGTAGTGGCCTCCCGTCCATCCGCTGACCGGCCACTGACCATGCTCTAAGATACTTAGGTGCGAAAAGCGTGCGACCTTCCTTTTGTTTTGCTTTGCTGCCTCACCCCTCGCCGTCTTCCAGGAAGCCCGGAATTGTGTCCCTTCAGAGAGGAGACAGAGTGGGAACTAGTCAGCTGACAGTCACAGCTCTCTCATCTGCTCTGAAAACAGAGCTTCAATGAATGTGCTTCTTTTTTAAATTTTTTTTTTCAATGTTTATTTATTTTTGGGACAGAGAGAGACAGAGCATGAACGGGGGAGGGGCAGAGAGAGAGGGAGACACAGAATCGGAAACAGGCTCCAGGCTCTGAGCCATCAGCCCAGAGCCCGACGCGGGGCTCGAACTCACGGACTGCGAGATCGTGACCTGGCTGAAGTCGGACGCTTAACCGACTGTGCCACCCAGGCGCCCAATGAATGTGCTTCTTATGATACAATTTTTTTTTCAAAAATGGCAAAAAAAAAAAAAAAAAAAAAAAAAGAATAAACTTCAGTCATCTATCAAAAAAGAACTTTTTCATCCAGGTTTTTAAAAACCAGAAACTATGGGTTCTAGGGAAACAGCAGTGAATTTTGTTTTCACATTTTCTTGCCCAAAATCTAAATTCAACCATAAGTGAATATAGTCTGAATGACTCTGGCATATCAGGGCGACTTCTGGATGCACCATTCACAGCCAGCATTGTGCTTGAGGGTGGAAATACTGAGGGTTTGGTGCAAAAAAAATTTTAAGAAATTGGGGTGCCTGGGTGGCTCAGTTGGTTGAGTGTCTGACTTCAGCTCAGGTCATGTTCTCGCGATTCACGAGTTCGAGCCCCGCATCGGGCTCTGTGCTGACAGCTCGGAGCCTGGAGCCTGCTTTGGATTCTGTGTCTCCCTCTCCGTCCCCCTCTCCGTCCCCCTCTCTGTCCTCCTCTCCGCTTGCGCTCTGTCTCTCAAAAATGAGTAAACGTTAAAACATTTTTTTAATTAGTAAATTATTTTTCACCAATTTAAGGCACAAGTCAGGGAATCTTTTAGTTGAGCGCCATAGGACCTCTGAGGAAATTTTCATTTTAGATGCTGCCTGGGTGATGGTCACGTGTCATAATTAACCCCCTGTGAAACAAATCAGAGTCTATTTCTATCCTGTCTTATTCCAGGTGTGATCCTGACAGGCAGAGATGGGGAAAAAACTGGATCTTTCCAAGCTCACGGACGACGAGGCCAAGCACATCTGGGAAGTGGTTCAGCGGGACTTTGATCTGAGAAGGAAAGAAGAGGAAAGGCTGGGGTGAGTGTATGAGGCCGAGCCTGTCCCTCCGGTGTCCCCTGGATGGGGGGGCCTCCCCGGGACGCTGGGGGTGAGCAGACAGCAGGATGCTCGGGGGGCAGGACACCGGATGGGAAGCCAGACGCTGGGAAACGTCCTGCTGTCTGGGCTCAGTTTCCTCATAATTAAAGTGAGGGGATCCGACTCCCCAGCCTGCATTCCGGTGCATCCCACTGTGCTCTGAATACTTTTAGTTCATCCTGGTCCAGCTTCGGGTCCCGTCTCCTGAGCCAGGAGATGCTTCAACCGTGGCAGGGCAAGGTGAAGTTGATAAAATACGGAAACACCCGGATGTCAGGCTGGAGGGGTTTTAGCATCGAGGCTGAGTTTGTCTTTCTTTCCAGTGTGTTGGGGGGGGGGGACCCTATCCCCCAATGGGTGGCCATGGACTGAGCCAACACCCTCTGCCATTATCTACCCCTCCCCCACCTCTAAGGCTTAGCTGTGCTGTGTGCTTGCTTACGAGACTTTCCTGGTGTCCGTGTGGCTGGAAGGCCTGTCGAGGAGACACGGGGGCAAGGACTCCTGGCGAGGGGGGAGCAAGAACGTGTCTGAGAGAGCAGCGCAGGCAGGGGCAAGGCCGCAGCGAGAGCGGGCTTCTGCCCTGCCAGCTGTGGGCCCCCGGGCTCTGTGCTGTCCAAGTGTACCGGCCAAATGTACCGGCCAAGTGTGCCAGCCAAATGTACTGGGAGGGCAGAACCATCCAGTCTGCCCACGACTGCAAGTGGGGGTGACGAGGGCGACTCGTGGCCTGAGTGACCCGGAAGGTGCAGTGAGGTGGAGCAGGTCTGGGGGAAACCAGGAGAGGGTTCGGACACGGGGGTTAGGTTGCCTGTCGGATGCCCGGCGGACAAGAGGGCTCCACGCGTGCTGGCCGCGAGCCCAGAAGGGATGGTGGCATTGTCACCGGTAGATGATATTCAATCTGTTTCCTGGGGCCGCTACAGTAGCCACAAGTCTAGTGGCTTCAAATGCACAAATGTCCCGTGGTTCTGGAGGCAAGAAGTCTTCCAGTCAAGGTGTCGGCGGGTTTGCGTTCCTTCTAGAAGCTCCAGGGGAGAGTCTGTGTCCTTGCCTTTTCCAGCTTCCCGAACCCCCTCCCCCCAGCCCTGCCTGTCTTCAGGACCTTCATCACGGTGTCTTCCACAGCCCCCGACTCTGCTCTCCTCTCCTTCTCCCTCTGTCCCTTATACAGACCCGTGACCACACAGGGCCCACCCAGGTAATCCAGGGTAACCTCCCGCCTAAGATCCTTAACTTGGCATGGCCTCTTTTGCCATGTGAGGTGACATGTTTACACCTGGGAACCAGGAACGTGACATTTTTCATGCGGGAGAAGCATTATTCAGCTGCCCCCGGTGTTTAGGCACCAGACAGGAGGAGACCCCGCAGGAGGGGATCCAGAGGGGAAGGCAGGGCCCCCGAGATGACAGAGACAGACCGGGGCTGGGAGGAACTCTAGGTCCGGACACGGGACAAAGGCCACGAGAAACAGACAAGGCATGAAGAGAAACAAGCCTGTTTCTGATCGGTGCCCCCAGGGTCTGTGAGGAGGGGTCCGGGTCAGTGCTGCCCAGGCTTCCAGCTGTTTCTCTGTGCAGCCCCCTGCCCTCCATTCTGCCCTGGGCTCCCGGGTCACCCCCTGGGCTTTTGTCGCTAAGACACTTCCACCCTGCTGGCCTCCAGGGATTGTCAGCTGCTCACCTACCCACATGAGACCTGACACCGGGGCCCATGGCCAGCCTTGACCTGACCCGACTTCCGAGTACCAAGCAGGGGTCAGAGCTTTGCATCCACCTGCCCCGGCCCGGCCGCCCGGCTCTGCCAAGGCCCACGATGCCTATGCCAGCAAAACCAGCCCAGCCTTTCCCGTTCACAGCACCCTCTTCCCCGGGGAGGGACCAAACGCTGCCTCCAGGCAGCTCAGCTGTTGGCAACTTTTATTTTAAATGTGTACAGAAACACAGATAAATGGGACCAGAGGGGAGCCCAGCTCCCTAGGGAGCAGAGGGAGGACCCCGCGGGCCAGGTCCCAAGAGGCACCCCCTTTCCCAGAGACCCATGAGCTGGGCAGCTCCTCCTTCATCTAGACGGCTGAGGTGGGTTTTGCAGAAATCCCTGTGTTTCTTGCACAAAGGTGAGTCCCTTCTGACATCCGTCCTTCCTTATCTTCCTACTCCTTTGGTCATTTCGCATCGCAAAGAGGAAACGGGCCCGGGGACCTCTCCACACTGTCAGAACCAGAAGGCTCCTACAAGGATGTGGGCTGTGTCACCCCCTCTCCGGCACACAGCCTGTAGCTCAGGCCAGGTCCCCGGGCCAGTTATGGTCAGGGCAACCTCCTGTCTCCTCGTCAGGAGGTGCCCAAAGCCGTCTGCTCAGAAAGGGCCAGGGTGGGGAGTGGGAGGCAGGGCGTGTTGGGGGACTGGCCCGTTCTGCCGTGTCTACTCCGTCTGCCTTGTGGTTGGGGACGGGCTTCTTAAACATCCCCCATCAGACATCAGACAGGGAGAGGTTGTACGGGGAACGTTAATGCAGTGGGAAGTTGTGTCTCTCCCAGAAATGCGAGCATGCAGCAGTGTGGAAAGTTTGTGTCCAAGTAACGTTAGGTCAAGGGCAGGGACGCCCAAATGGCGCTACCATGGCCGGATCTAGCAGGTGATCACGTTTGGGAAGTAAAGAGTCGTTTCAGGGGGTGTAGGGAGGGAAGGGTTTTTACATTTCTTATCATATTTGATGGTTTTGCCTCAAATACAAAATTAGGATGTTAATGCAAAAGCAGGATGTTCACAGCATTGTTAAACATGTCGCAAAGACTAAAGCTGCTTCTGTCCGTGACGAACCTTTGCTCCAGTGTCCCCTGACCCCGGGGTGCCGCAGGACCCAGGCGCGAGGTCTCGAGGCAGGTAGACGTGATGAGCACCATGAGGTCAGAACCCATGTGTTCGAGTTCTGCCCAGACGGGCAATTCTGCTTAGAAATGCTACAAGCAGCACAGCATAAACACTCTGGGTTCCCGACGCCAGGACTCGTTCTACAGAGCCGTTAGCTAACATGCCTCACTCCGGTTCTCCGATCTGTGAATCAGTCATGGGCCGAGCTGAGAAACCAGTCCTCCAATGACCACCAGGTGGGTGGCAGCTCGGGGGTCGCTCAGATGGGTTTCTGATGTCTTTGCCATTCTCCCAAAGAGATGCCGGCTGGACGGACGGCAGAGCTGGAGGAACCCGCCACAGGGGCTGACAGAACAGAGCCCATGGGGGAAGAATTAGGAAACCAAGAAACAGGCATGTTCGCTCAGGGGAAAGAATTCTCCTGCCCTGAATGTGCCTCAGGTGGGCACAGTGTGTGGGCCTGATTCCCCAGGAGCAGACCTGCCAAGGGGCGCTTTGCTAAACAAGCAGTCCACCGAATAGACCAATTTGAAGACAACAGCAAGAATATTTCTTTCAATATTTACAAGTTAATGGAAACGTGTGCCAGGCAGACCTGTCCCCAGACGTGAGAGTACCAACCCGTTGTAGAGGATGCTGGGGCAGGGCCAGGCTGAAGATCCCCGATATGGGGAGGACGAAGTCCACGTGGCTGTGAGACTGGTTTCAGTAACACCCACAGGTAGTAGAGTGTCCCCCAAACACTGAAGCCCCTGGTCCCTCGCTGGGCCTGACCCTCCCCAGCCTGTGGTGAGGACAGTCACAGCCCCGTGGGGAAGACAGAGCCCGTCCCAGCTGTGAGAGGCAAGGGGTGAAGGATTTTGGCCGCTGCCTCAGCCCGAAGCTCCTGAGGTGGCCTTCCAAATAGACGACACAGATGGCTTCCCTCAGAATCGACTAGAAGGAAGGTGGAGGCCACGCCATCTTTGACTTAGCCGCAGGCACACAGAAGTCGCCCCCTGAGGGTGGCGTGTGGGACCAGGGACTGGGGAGGGCCATGTTTACCATACAGGGTGAGGGTGTCATGTTATTCCTGGCTTCCCTTCAGGACATGCTGCTGCATCCCAAAGAGTGGGAAATTCGAAGATATACAAAATCAGGGTGTTCACACCATTGGCATCAGAAAGGTGCTTTAGGATAGATTTCACATACTACCTGTTTCCTACCATCGAGTCCTGAGCATTGGGCTATAACGAGGATGTGTGTCTTCCTGTGGATGAACTTTGAGCCTTCAAACATGGCGGACGCTTGTGTGAGACAATGGCCCCCCTTATGCTAAGTCTGCTACCTGGGGCAGGGCTTGGGCCGTGAGCCTTCATGACTGTCAGGGAGACAAAACTTAGAATTATCTCAGTGCCACCGAGGAGTGTTTGGTAGTGTGCTCTTTCCGATCATTTTTTTTTTTTAATTAGTAAAGTGGAAATAAAAATTCTTTCTTAACATGATAAAAATATCCCCCAAAGAATAGCCATCAGGATAGATTAATGGTAGAAACAAGAAAAGGATTTCTGTCGGCACCACTCATCACCACTAATTTATCACTGTTGTTGATATGCTAGCCAATGCGATTAGGGAAGATAGCAAAACAGAGCTATTATCTACAGGTGTGAAAACCCAAGTTCTCTGAAAGACAAAGAAAAAAGAGAATTTAGTAGCCTGCCTAATTACAAAAGAATGTAGAAGAAAGTCGGTGTCCCCCTCTTAGACACCAAAAATAATAAGAAAATATATAGAAAAAAATTCTATTTACGATAAAAACATGAGGTACCTAGAGATACACGTATCAGAAATGTGCAAATGCGGTATGGCGAGTAGCACAAAACATTATTGAGCAGCATACAAAAATTTTAAATAAATAGCAAGTGATACCATACATTCGAAGTGGTGCAAGCATCATACTGCAGAGGAATCAGTGAATTGTAACCCCAGTCAAATCCCCGCGGCAGGTTGGGGAACGTGAGAAAATGGTATGGAGGAACAAGGACGTAAAAATAGTAAGAAGGACCTTGTTCCGTGAGATAATTTATT